CTGGGCAAAGCTTTGCCAGCAACATTACTAATTACAATAATTAATTATCTACGTTTGGCATCTGTTTATGTCACCTAATTAGCAGATGTGGTTCTATTCACTCATTTTTCAATGGTTTGCTGACTGATAAAAGGATACATTAGCTTTGCAATAAGGCTCTTTTGACCCTCTCAACCTTGAAAGACAACAACGTATTTTTATATTTTCAAAGAACATATGCAAAATTGGTTCTTTTCGTTTCACTGATCCAACTTTCATCTTAAAGTTTTGAAGGTGATGACAATGTATATTGTGAGCATCTTTTCTTGAGTGACTGATGAAATGTTCTGTCTTTTATTGATAACTTCTTGGCCTGTTAATGCTGTGATGAGTGTTTCTTTCCTCCACTTATCTCTTGTTCTTAACCTCAGAGAGATGTATTATGGTGAAACAATGAGGGGAAGAGACTGTTTTTATGAAGTATCACTATAATCGCTGGATCCGCACGAGAGCGTGAGAGAACAACTTTAAATTCAGTTGAAGTTCAGTGCACTATGTTTAATTGGCCATTAATAATGTCATACTGAAGCTGCACTCTATGAAGAATTGGTTTTGTCCAGTCTTTTTCTGAGAAAATGTGATTGCTAATGCACACATTTATAGTAACTTTATGTGTATATATATATATATATATATATAACAGACTGAATTTGTGCAAAGTTTTGCCAGATACACATTTTGTGACTGAATATTTGCTACATATTTGCTAAAAGTAAAGCTTTTCAGGCATATTTCAGATTTGCCATCGAGGAAAAAACTCATAAAAAAAGGCAATTAAGCTCAGAGTTAGTTCCGGCGACATTGTCACTGTGGCTTTCTTCGTTTCTAAACACAGAAGCTGTTGTTTAATGCTCCTGTGGCTCAGTGGTAGGGCATTGTGTTAGCAGCGCAAAAGGTTGTGGGTTCGATTCCCAGGGAACACACATACTGGTAAAAAATGTATAGCCTGAAAGCACTATAAGTCGCTTTGGATAAAAGCATCTGCTAAATGCATAAACTATTATTCAATAGAAGCTGGTACACTGAGACTCTGTTTGTAATAGATGTAATACACAGACAAACTAATAGTTGGATTGGATTGGAAAGTCATACATAAAAATAATTGTAAATATAAACATTCAGATTAATGAAAAACTGTGCATTTCAATAAATTATACTGTATCTGTATTAGCTGACTTGCTCTCTAGATATAGGGCCAGATTTACAGCTTGTGAAAAATTAGCTATGCAAAGGCGTGTATACAGTTATTTTTGTGGCTGACCTTATTGGATATGCATTTGTAGGAGTTTCCCATTCAGATGCAAAATGTATGGGAGAAAAATATTTAAATGAATTACGTAACATGATTTACTAAGGTTTGCGCTTGTCAGTTTACTGGTATGTGTGCCATTATTTATTTCTTTGTCCCTGTGTTGTTAGTAGACTTCACATACCTCATTGAAATGTGCTGGCTGCGGCTGTGTTCTTTATTTTGCACATTGTCAGTAAATCACCCGTAAAACTTTCTTCTCCCATCGGCACTTTTATGGGGTACATTTGTTATAAGCAGTGTTGGGGAAAGTTACTTTTAAAAGTAATGCATTACAATATTGCTTTACTCCATAAAAAAGTAACTAATTATGTTACTTAGTTACTTTTTATGGAAAGTAATGCATTACGTTACTTTTTAAATCTGGACAGGGCTTGCTTGTTTGCTTTTAAAATTCTTTTTTTTTTTTTTGGCAAATATAAAAGCCTTTTCACACCAAAAGTGAAATGAATAAGCCTCAGGCTGAAGGGGAAGTACATTTACGTCCGTACAGTAGAATGCAGAAGAAGAAATTTCAACACACTTCAGCAATAAAAAAAGACAAAAAAAAAAGAAGTAATTTTTGCTTATTAGTATGGTTGAACTAGATCATTTATTTTAGAACTACAGTAACATCTTCTGATTTCTCTCAATATGGGAACAGGAGAGCTGTCAATCAATAAATTGGAAAAAAAAAGTAACTTGCGTTACTTATTTGAAAAAGTAACTCAGATATTCTCTTGTAAATTAAAAAGTAATGCGTTACTTTACTAGTTACTTGGAAAAAAGTAATCTGATTACGTAACTTGCGTTACTTGTAATGCGTTACCCCCAACACTGGTTATAAGGTACAATAAAGTTTCATTTGTTAACTATATTAGTTAATTTGAACTAACAATGAAAAATACTTTTGCTGGTTGGGTTGGCTGGTCTTAGCTGGTTTAAGCTGGTTCCCCAGCCTGACCAAGCTAGTGTTCAGCTGGTTCTCCCAACCTGACCAGCTAAACAAGTGGTCAAACCCCTTCTAAAATCATCTATGACCAGGCTGAAAGACCAACTAAAACAAGCCACCTAGCTTAGGCTGTTTCAGCCTTTTTTCACCCTATCAGGGCTAACAGGGCAGATGTTACAAGACCAGAATATGTATCGTAGAGATTAAAGGTGGGCTGTTTTGACTTGGGACATCTATCAAACACCCATAAAAGCTAAAAACAACTTAAAACTTACCACCCACAATACCTCAGCTATCACATTTGTGTGCAGCAAAGGATGAGTTCTGAGTACAGGATCTAAAACGCAGCCAGCTTCTTTTTATTAACAAACCCAAAATGAACAGTATACTCAGGAATCAAAATAGCTCGTAACATACAAACATAACAGCCAAACATAGACAAGAACAGACAACCAAGGAAACAGAGGACTATATTTATACTGGAGAACTAAGGAAGGAAACAAGCTAACAAGCAACTCAACTACAAACAGGTGTGCAACTTGAGTCAGTAACCAATGCAACAAACAAGAAAAGACAGGCAGACAGTTAGGCAAGCAAAAACCAAGCTAAAAGACAAAACAAACATAACACTGATATTAGCAATGTGGTAGCAAGTTTTACACTTGCAAGCACCACTCACATTTTCTTCAGATAATATCAAAATGTAGTTTTGATTAGTATACCGATAACATTGATTACAATATCTTAGGCGAATCTTCACCTCACAGCAGCACACTGTAATTGTGGTTGACTTTCATCCCAATGATAGATTGCACACCATCTTATAGCATAAATCATATTTGCCTGCAGGTGTGTCCTTGATAGTGTATCATATTTTGATGACGCATTTTAGTCTTATAATGTTTTATAAGATAAAATCATCACATCAATATGACAATTTCCTTTTGTTTAATGCTTTATAATCTATCTCAGCAACATTTTATGACTCAGATGTACCCAAGTGCAGCTAAGAGCAGGGTTTAAAGATAAGATGAATAAATCTAGTCATTTTCTTGGCTTATCATAGCAGCGGCATATGATCAGAACATCGACATGTCATACCTATTACCAAAATAGAATGTGTTGTGTATGACATTTTGTCATGAGTTACAGTGAGCAAGAACAACTGCGTCAAGGAAACACATGACAACATGGAACAGGCTACAGCTTCAAATGTGACAGTCAAAGTGACACCGATACCAGCAGCATTATCACAAAAGTGTGAATCTCTAGATGGATACTAGTGTTGAATCCCTGAAGGAAAAGACAGTGGCAGAATACTGATTTTCCTTGAACTAATATGAAACATAGAGTAGTGTGATTAATGTTCTATGCCATAGAAAGACTGTTTTTATACTCCGTATTGTCAATTAAATCTATCTATATCTGTCTAGCTTCTACTAAATCATGATCTTGCACTTACAAAAAAGGACTGTGGTGGTACCATGGTACAGTAATGGTGTCAGAGGGCAAAATTATATATTCCAATGCACTGAATGATTAGCATATTCATATGCCATGACATTGAGAGATTATCATATTTATGTAGCTATGTATTGTATATACAGTGGGTACGGAAAGTATTCAGACCTACCATCCAACCTGACAGAACTGGAGTGGATCTGCAAGAGGGAATGGCAGAGGATCCCCAAATCCATGTGTGAAAAACTTGTTGCATCTTTCCCAAAGACTCATGGCTGTATTAGATCAAATGGGTGCTTCTACTAAATACTGAGCATTTTTCAGTTTTTCTTTTTTAATAAATTTGCAAAAATGTCAACAATTCTGTGTTTTTCTGTCAATATGGGGTGCTGTGTGTACATTAATGAGGAAAAAAAATTAACTTAAATGATTTTAGCAAATGGCTGCAATATAACAAAGAGTGAAAAATTTAAGGGGGTCTGAATACTTTCCGTACCCACTGTACATACGACTTCAAGGAAAACGTGGTACTTTCAAGTCAAGACATGTCAAGTCACATTTATGCACACTTGTAAAAATCATCAATTATGAAACCAGTTTAATTTCAGCAGAAAATCAGCTCAACAGTAGATAATAGTGCCATTATACAGTTCAATTTACTTCATTTTTGTTTCAATTAAATTCAATAACGGTGTCAATGTTGCAAAATGTATCTTTTTTTAATTAATTAAATTTAGCTACTGTATAAGCAGCTCTACAGAAGACAAAAGTGTCATGCATGTCAGTTCAAGTCAATTCACTGTTGATTCAATTTAGTTCAATAATGGTGTCAAGGTTGCAAAGTTAACGTCATTATCCATCCAGTTTATTTGTTTATGTATGTATTTATTTTGTTACCATAGTTATCTTAATTCCATTGGTGCACAATGAGGGAGATCCATATTCAACACATCAATTAATAAATCAATTAATAAACAAATAAAATGGATCTTACTTGATAATGGCTACCATAAAGCCAGTATTGGTAACAGTGTGTTCAAATGTTTTCTGATAGTGGTGCAAATGACCAGAATAGTGTAAAGTGACTTTGACCACAGCAGCCACCCCAGAATACCTTACCTCACGTTTTGTTCTGAAAATGTAAAAATCTAGGTTTTAAAATGTGACATACTTTGAGCTACCAAAGCACATGTTCAGACAAATGCATTTTCTCTGTCTTGCAGGTGAACAAGTGACCAATGAGGTGGAATACTACTTTAGCGGAGTGCTGGAAGAGAAGTTACCTTGCCCCAGTTCTCCGAGAGCACAGGGAGAGAGACAGACATCTCTGATTGTTTGTTGCCAGTAGGGAGACGGGAAGGTCAGTAAACAAACTAGATTGCATTTCTTCTGCTGCAGTGTGTCATTCTGCCTGATGTTCAACTCATGTCAGCACAAGAAGAGATGTTTGGATCCCCGCTTGATGTATCAGCAAGTGACTGCTGTCAGTGTAAACACTGCCATTCAAAATGCCATGCATGAAATGTCATTGAATACAGATTAAGATTTGGATTTCAGCTTCTTTGAGCAGGGCTGAAATCTACTTTTACCATTCGGAACAAAAATGTTGAATAATGATAATTTGACTAATGACTAAATCTACTTTAAATGGATTTTTTCCCCTCTCTGAATACTGTGTAATAGGCTGCACAATTAATAACATTTAAATCAAAATTGCAATATGGAATAGTGTGATTATTAAACCACAAAAGGCTATTTAGTGAATTCATTCAATTTATTCTTCTGCATATTGTTTATTGCTTGCAAATGAAGAGGCAGCAGTCTGTTCTGCCATCATGATATAGTGCTTTTAGCTGAATCAAAGCATCTTTAGATGCTTGCTCGGTACAAACTCCATCTGGCGTTGCTTTGAGTTTAGTGCGATTTATGTGGTGCGGTTATGACATGCATTGTAAGATTCACTCTATTTATTATTATTATTATTATTATTATTAGTATTAACATTTATGTGTATTAAATATTATTATTATTTAGCATTGTATTAATAAAATATAATATTTAATTTTTTTCATTCACTTTAATCTTGGGGTCGGCTGAAAGACATTTGGGTTTTGTTCTTTTACCCTTCAAGAGTAAAGGCCTTTCCACACTAAGCGCGAAAAAGCAAAACGAATATCGGACGTGATGACGTGCTGGAATAAAACAATAGAGTTCTATGGATGCTTCCACATAGACTGTGAACATTCGCGCACCGAAAATGCAAATTTTTTTTTTTCGAACCAGTCCGACGAATCTTTTCAGTTTCACAAAGCGAAAAAACACGGGCCTTCCAATAAGATTTGAGCTAGGATCACATGACTGGAGCAGCTGCTGTTGCACAAAAAGGCAAGAGTGGTGGCGCTGTTTCAAAAACCAGTGTAAACAAACATCGAAGAAGAGTATCCCGGATAAGAGAAGAGAGTGGATGCTGAGTTCTTGTTATCGTTGGTATTTCAGAACAGATTTATTCTCACATCATGTTCTTTATACAGAATAACATTTCTATTAATTGTCCACTGAATTATGTGATCTGTAGAGCACCGTCCGTTTTCTTCTACGTGCGTGAGTGTTATCAAAGCGCGTTAACTCTTTTTCTACACATGAAATATGAAACATAGTATGATGACGATATATTTTCTGTATGTGTTTTGTATGCAGCTCATGGTATTTTTAGAGCAAGGATGTTTATGACAAATATTAGCAGTGCAGCGTTATTAAACATACAAAGAGTGCATGTGTCTGCTTATTAATCAAAATCAACTATAGATCACAATTGGAAGTTATTACAAGCATTTGATGATGGTTTAAAGTGGGTAAGCAAATACATTAATAATTACATACATTTTCAAGTGTAGCTTGATGCTAATTGTACTTCTAATTATATTTTAGGATGTAGCCTATTCTTGTAAACATCATAGATAATTTGTTTCTGGTGTAGAACCTTGTTTATCTTAATGTAATGCTGTATATTGAGCAGCAGATGATGTTAAATCCATTTCAGAGATACATATCTGAGGAAAAATGCATTGTTGGTCGGCGCCACCTAGCGTGCAGGCGTGAATTAGCAGAAGGCGAACAATCGTTTTGCGTTCGGTGTGAAAGCACCGTTCGTCGGCGATTCGCCTCACTTTTTCGCATCGCGCTCAATGTGGAAAGGCCTTAACTCCTTATTTTGAGCAAAACATGATGCAATTTGGAGACAAAACACATTGCTTGCAATTTTGTAGTTTTTGCACACCCTTTCGAACATAAAGGTTGCTGTTTCGGTGTGTTTTTATGTTTTGTTTTGTTTTTATACCCCTGATATCTAAGCAACAGTAATATGAGATGGTTAATGTCCAAAAATGCTAAAACTTACAAACAAACAAATAAGAATAATTTGCAGTATATAACATGCCCAGCTGTTGTAATTTAGAGAGGGGGGGGGCAATGGAATCAGAGGTTCAGCATTATCATCCAGAAGGTATTCTTGCTGTGGTAAGTGTCTTGCATAAGCAACTTGATTTACAACTGCAGGCAAAAAGATAATAAAAATAACAAGTAAATAAAGGATACAATATATTGACTATGACGTGGCATATTATTAAACAGGTTAGAGCTTTTAACACATGAGTAGCAATAATAGTCTTAAGGCAGCTATTATTGTCTGGTAAGACCCAATTTATTTGATGGATATGTGGAAGACCCTGAATACCCCAAGCAAGCAATCAAACGAACAGATAATAAATAATTAATAAATAATAAAATAATAAAATCCCATCAAAAACAAGTCTATTAATATGTGAATCAAAACTGGAAAAAAAAAACCTGCATGCAATGAAACTAATGGTCACACAAACCAGAGGAAAACACATTAGCATTAGCAACTGCTGAAATTGTACATAATGTATTTGTGGCGGTTAAATACAATTACAAGGGTTTTTATAGTACTTCATTTTAAATGTTTAGTTACGACATACAGCTTTATCCACTGACTGGTCTATATTTTATATATATTAAATGAAGAAGACTCTGGGCAGTGCTATATGCTTTGATATACATTTTAAATGAAGAAGATCTCACTCTGGGCAGTGCTATATGCTTTGATTCATGAGTTGGCCTGCCCATCCAGTCCTGGTGGTTAATGGTAAACGAACTTGGCTTGCTGTCGAACTGAGGCTCGGCTTGAGCACTGAGTTCAACCCCCCTATTGTGGTACTAGAGGGAGTATTGTGGCTAGAGGGAGAGTAACAGAAATAGAGGAGGAGATGGGGAGGTGGAGGGATGCTGGAAGAATTGACGCTGGGACGGTACAATGAGTGCTGCTTATATAGGCTCGTAATGATGATTGACAGGACTGAATGATTAGGCTCCTCCCGAACCTACGTTTGGAACTTCATTTAAACAGTAATAATATGACGCATGAAATATGCTGTTATTGGTTGTGGCTGTGTCATGTTGGCAAACTTCTTTTCAGTGGAATCTTAAATAATTTGGTTAAACTTTGTTTCAATAGTGCACTTTGGGCATTTTGTTGACTACTGTCTAAGTAATTAATTTGCAACTACGTGTCAAATTTTATCAGAGTATTAGTAGATTGCCAGGTTAGGTTTTTGTTTAGCAGAATAAGTTGACATATACTTGCATAAACTTGACTTTTTGCAATGAGTCAGTAGAATATATATTGGGGGCGAATCAAAATAAAGTGTTAGCAAATATTAAGCTGATAGTCTGCTAATACTCCAGTAACTGGTAGATGACGTAGTTGCAAAGTTACTTATATTCAAAAAAATGTCTAATGCGCATTGAAATAAAGTGTTCCCAAGGTTTTTTTTGTGAAAAGTTATGCTAAGTCCAGTGGTTGAATTGTAAAACTAACTAACTAAATAACTAACTAACTAACTAACTAACTAACTAAATAAATATGATGATTACAAAAGGTGTTACACACAGTAACAACAACAACAACAACAAAATTGCTTTATTAAATTATCTATGATTTATAAGGTGTCTTCCTTGTGGGGCCTAAAATTGGGGGATTTTTGTTGATAACAATAATTAAACAATATTTTGCTGAGTGTATATTTGTGCTTGTACTTCGGCTGGTTTAGGCCTGTCATGGATAAATAAGTTGACAATAAAATTGCCAGTGGGTGGCTGCAAGTCCCTGTTTTAATAAATAATTAATTTAATCATTAAAATTGAACGAGCGTTCAAAACGACTTGATTCAATTAGAAATAAAGCAAGTGACTCTCTTTGTGAATGGATTGTTGAATCAATGACTCACTCGATTCGTTCAAAACAGATTAACGAACAGGAACGAAACAACACAGTGTTGGTCTCACGCATAATGGCTCTGTTCCAGCTTTGTTTGGAAATATTTTGTTTGCAAAGAAAAATATTCTAACTGCATTCTAATAGGCTTCATCGTGCAGTGAATGCTTTTGGACTGAAAATGCTTTTGGACTGAAAATGTGTTTTTGCAAAGTCAGTGACCACTCTCAATATCATCTTTCTGTCCCTCACAGTCACACATGCAGCACAATAATGTTTTGTCAGGGGACTGTCTTCAACTCTAATAAAGGAAATATTGTGTTGTTGTTTTTTACAGAACATCAAAAGTTGTGCTTGAAACTTTTTGTGCGAAAAATGAACAAAGCTTGCAGCTCGTTACAATATTGAGTTTTGATTAGCCCATCACCATTATTTAGTTTGTAAATTATAAGTATATTATTTTAATATTTAATTTGCATGTCCAGTTGTACATAATACACACCATTATTAATCTAAAGTGGACGGTAAAGGGGATGGTGGTTTTACATAGGGAATGATTTTTGTCTTTTTTTTTTTCAACAAGGAGCTTCCCCCCATATTCCCCCTCAATTCGAGCCCTAGTTAATCATTGAAAAGGTCAGACTCAAGTGCGATTTGCTCATGAAACAAAGATTGGAAATGTACCAGTACACCATTTTAACCTATCTCAAATGTCTGCCTTTGTGCCAGCAAACTGATTTTTAAGTGCATTGACTTATATTTCATAGTTGTTTATTTTATAAATTAGAAAAAAAAAAATGTATGTTGTGACATCCACTTTCCACAATCCATATTTCAATGGGTGGCTACAAATAAGTTATTTAAAACAAAAATGAAACATACCTTCCCATTTAACACATAGCGAGAGTGAAATAGTGGTGTATAATTTAGATTATATTCTTTGTTGTTGAACAATTATTTCTTGCAAATTATTTATTTTGATTTTTTTTTTAGGTATTGCTTTCCTGGAAACTCCAGCAAAGGGTTAATAAAATGTTTTACAATTGCAGTGGTTATTGCAACTAGGT